TCTGTATAATGTAATTTTAGTTTTGTTTCATAGTATCTAGCTCTATAAAGCTAAGTATGTTCTTATAAGTGTTTAGTATCATATTCATTAAAGCTATTTTGAATTTTGTGAAAGATATTTATTTATTAAAGTTTTATGTTTAAATGCATGAAGTCTAATAATTATGAGTTGTTTGGAAGATAAAGAACAGAAATGGTTAAACAGTCACCTTAATTGAAAAAAATGTTACTTTCTATTTAAAAACATTGATTTGCAGCACTTTATTTTGATTTGATTATAATTGTGATTTATTTTAAAAGAAGACAAAATTGGTTCACATAAAGGAAAACCTTATTTACACAGAAATTATACAACTTGCCTGAATTTATAGCTTGAAACATTTGTATTCCAGGTACTCCTGTGAGCAATTAGATTTTAGTTATAGCTTGTAGAACAAGAAAAAATATTGTTATGTTATGATCAAGTGTATTGCATACAAATTCTTAATAGTCTCTGAAGATGCTGAAAACTCCAGAGTTTATGCCTTATGTCGTATTTGTTTCTGCACCTCAAGTGGAGCTTTTAAAACAGATGCATGAGAATGGTCGTCATCATGGGTTCACTAGTATGAGAAGTCTAACGGTAATTTCACTGTCAAAGAAAATTTGCTAGTTTTCACATTCCCCGTGAATAAGCAGTAGAATTAGTGTACCTGTATCATTATATAATGAAAAATAAGTTTTATATTTTCTCACAAACGAATTTTCCAAATACCTATATGTGTTGTAGTTTCATGTAGCTGTTTTTGTAAACTTTACATATAAAAAATTTGAGATTTTATCTTACTTCTTTTCTAAAGCTTACGTATTAATGTGCATAAAATATGTTTTTGTTTTACGACTTTTATAACTTGTTAGTTATAAATGAACTAAATTTAATCTTCCTCTTTTATCTTTCTGTGTGTAAGTTTGTATATCTAACATATATGAATACTCTTGCTTTATTATGTTTGGGCATTATCTGCTGATGGTGTTATTAATCCGTTAATATTTGCTCTGTAAGTATTCAGTCTAGTAGGTTATCTGTTTCACTATAACCTGTGCTTCGGGTTGTTCATCGAAAGTGCACATATCGGGATTAACCTTTTACAGTGTTACATTCAAACATTAATTAAACAACTTTAGTATCACCTTGATATGAAAACGTAGTTTATAACTCAAATGTTTATATTATCAAAGTTTTAACTTCTTAATTTCAAAAATAACCATTAAAAAATCTCAGTGTTGAATGCATCTGGTAGATTAACTGGTCTGCACTTGACATAACCAAATCTTTTTAGGTAACTTAGAAATTTCAAGATACAAAAAGGTATTTCGTACATATTTAACTTTGTAAACTAACTTATATGTTCTCATCAGTGTTGCAGACTTCACATTCCTCTTATTCAATGTTAGTATGTAGATATGCATGTTTTTAGAGTGCAGAACTTGATCATGAACTTAGTTAGATATTCATTGTAGAAAAGCAAATTTATTTTGTGCATGTGTGTCTTAATAAATATATTTCTAACATCTGATAGGGAGGCTGAAAATAATTGCTTAATTGTGATGCACGTAATATAATAATCTTGATGGTGTTAAAGGCATGCTACTGCAATACGACATCTTTGAACAATAATGAATAATGCATGTTTGTGTAATGAGAATATGATGTTAATTTTATTTCATTTAAAATCAATTTATATTTGATAGTACAGTCGTTAGATGCTACATTTTCTAATGTTTGTATCATGGAAAGTTCAATCAGTTAGCTTTCAGTAAGTCAAAAGTACATTTCTTTTTGTACTTGTTAATGATCATGCCATTTTATTTAAAATCAAATTGAATATATACTTTTACAATCATTTTACATTACATTGTAGTTGTTCATCAAAATTCGTAGTTGTATCACTTGATTTAAGTAAGTTTTATATTTTATTTCTATTTAATGTGTGCATTGTTCAGAATGTTTTTATTTTAATAATGAGCCTGCAAGTAGCTTGTTCAGTTTGAATTTTGCATGAATAGAAGCTGTTTTGTTTTTGTTTTTTTTTTGGTTTTTGTTCCTTATAGTTTGAGAAAGCTATGGGGCGTCATGGATCTCGTCGTGCTCGAACCCTTGAAAGCTTAGCATCCTTGTATGAGGTAGGAAATAAAATCTTTTTCCTGCTGTGTTTTCTTTTAAGTTATAATTAAAAAACTGGACAATAGATTTGAATTCCGAGACAAAGGTATAATTGTGTCTGTAGGTTATAGTATTTAAAGTCAAGAGTTATTATTTTAGTATATTTTATTTAGTTTAGTATGGATTGCCCTCTTTTAGGTTCTGTTACTACAGGTACAGCTAAGCATAAAGTTATGACATTAGGCTTAATACTAGATTGTAGGCATTTTTTTCATTTACTTTTTAGGTAAATATTGGTACTGGTTTATAGGATAATAAAGTTTTTAAATGTTAAGAGTGAAATAAAGAGTTTTCATTAGTGTTAGCTAATCATGAAAGAGAATTTATTTAACTTAAAAGATTAAATTACTGTTTCTATTACTATTTGATAACTGCTGAGAATTTAATACATTACTAAATTGTTTAAATTAGCATTGAATTACATGTAACTAGAAACATGGTGTACATCATAGCTATGGCACTAACGTTGGTAATTAATGGTATAACCATTGGTTAATATAGAATGTGGTGTAACATTTATCTACAGGCTGATACTATTTAACCTGCAGTTTGACTTAGTGACTGTAATGCAACTTTAGCTATAAAGCTATAACTTATGCTTATTCAGTTATTGGTAAGTTATAAAACAGGCTAAATAAATTGTATTATTACATAAATATAATCTAAAGACTAGCTATTTGTCACCTTTCATTTTAAAGATAAGGTAATGATAAAATAGTGTTGTATAATTAACTCTAACATTAGGCTTACTAGTGTAGCCAATAGGCTACTTGTATTTATTGTTGGTTATTTATTCCCAGTCTACAATGATAGAATAGTGTAAGTGTTAATTAAGTGCTCACAGTTTATTACATGCAATAGGTGAAAGGAGTGGGTTTTATTTGAGAATTCAGATCTGATATATGCACATTTAAAGAAGCTGGTAGTGAAGTTGTTAGGTTTGAGGAGAAATTGTAGGCTGTTCTAAATATGGTAGAGACCATGGAACAATAGAAAATGGTAGGAGGATTTAAAGAGGAACTTAAGCTTGTGTGAAGAATACAGTGACTAATAATGACTTTCAAGAAATTAAAAACACTACTAATATGGCTAATAGTAGTAGTTATAATGAGAAGGTTCTTTTAAGTAACAGATTTTAGCCTTTAGCTTGTACAGATGAACTTGAGGAGGGAAGGATAACAAAAATGACAAATAGGGATGGGAATGAAAAACATAAGAAGGTTATTGTTATGGAAGATGGGATAAATAGGGAGAAAAGAATTAGATTATGCTATCCAGGGGTAGAGGTAGAAGATATAACTTACAGAGCAAGTGATATCGTAAAGAATGCTAGTAGTGCAGTCTTTGTAGTACACATAGAAGTTAATGTTGTAGAGAAGGGTAGGTCAAAGGAGCATATTGTTAAGTACAAGGCATTCAAAGAAAAGGGTCATAATAACTTAATTCTGTCAGGGATACTGTCAAGACTTAACTGTGAGTGTAAAATTATAAATATGTCTGTAGGGTTGAATGCTAGACTTAGGTTAATATGTAAGGAAGAGCAGGTTGGCTGGTTGAATTTGTGGGATCATTTCAGTGAAGTAAAAAAACCTTTCCAAATGGATGGTTTATATTAAAATATAGTAGGGGCTGGCTTGTGTGAAAGGGCTGTTAAATTTAAGGGTAACTTTAAACTTGTATTAGACTGTGGAGAGGGCTTGAATAATGAAAAAAAAAATGTACAGAGGGGTTATAGTGTGAGAACAAGTTACAAAGGTAGTTTTAATGGTAGGTTAGGCTAACACTGGTCAGAACAAAGGAATTTTGTACAATGGGAATAACTGAAACCTGACTAAGTGTAGAGAATTTTGATGACAGGAATTTCTTTAAAATATAGGGTTTTAGGTTGTTTAATAGAGATAAAGTAGTATTATCTGAGTTAATACTGTTCAAGGTGAGGATATCAAAGCTAATCAGTGATGTGCACAGGGGAGTGGCATGGTGGGCTCAAGCCCCCACCTTTCTGCTTGTATGCCCCAAATGTGCCCTTTATCTCATTTTAAAACAATTGTCTATTGCTACTAAAATACACACCTAATTTCACACCTTCCTTATTGTGAGTAATTAGGGGAAAAAAAAAGATTTCAGGCTTTTGAATAAATGGCACATAGGGACTTGTAGATCTTTACAATAATCAAATAGTTGTGATATGCTGTCAAGTGTTAATATGCAAGAACTTACAATTTAGTTTTAGATCTTGATAATTATTTATAAGACCAAATGATTAGGAGTAAAAGAGGATCCATTTACTTCTTATAGCTTTTTATCCTATGTATATCAAAGGCAATTCATAGTCTCCCCTAACACCTCCCCCCCCCAAAAAAAAGGTATTACATTATGATGCTAAATGTGCCCTTTCTTATCAATGAGCACCTGCCCTTTGAATGTCTTCTGCATGTTACTGAAGCTAATAGTAGTGAGATTGAATATATTTGGATTTCTGTTAGTGGTTATAAAGGAAGAAGGCTTTTTATTGGAATTTGTTACAGACCATGAAATTAATAAGAAACTGTACAGTGAGATAAAGAATTCAGCTGTTATGACATTATAATTATGGGAAATTTTAGTTTTATTCATATAGAGTGAGAAATATTAAAGTCAAATCATGAGTGAGACAAGGTTTTAAAAACTGTTCAGGATAATTTTCTTCAATAATTACTTTGAGAACCTACAAGGACTAGTGTTACTTTATATTTGTTATTAACTTCTAATAAAGAAATTACTGACAAGGTGGAGATTGAGAACCATCTGTGTGCAATTGATAATTGCTCAATTAGATTTTAAGTTTTGCTTCATATGTAAATAAGGAATAATGAGATTTTGGTTCCAAATTCTAAAATTTTTGAAAAGATGAGAGAAGAATTATTTGCCTTGAATTAGTTGCCTTGAATCTAACTGAATTAGTTAGAGATTGTCAGAATTTAAAATATAAGTCTTTTTGCCAATTGTCAAAATAAAAAGGCTTTTACTTATACTTCTTAATAATATAAGTATATACTGTGTTGTTGTTGTTAGACTTAGGACTCTTCTACAGTAGGTGTCTGTGACTTGTTGGCAATAAATTCAATGATAAATGAAAAGCATGCACTTTACTTGTTAAACGTATGTACAACAGATTCTTCTCACTATATAGATTATAGGCATATAAGTGCTGTATATATAGTTCTCTTCTTATTGTCAAAAGTCCACTTAGACCTATTCAATTGCCTTATAATTTCAGTTGACAAGCCGAACTATCTTCTCTATTACTATCACACTAGTATTCTGTGTGTGATTCCCTTACAATAGTGGCGTGAGTTACGGTTATTGTTTGGTCTTGTTTCTTCTAAATATTCTCTGTTCCTTTTGTCAAAGTGCACTTAGGCTGATTCAATTACTTTAGAACCACACTTTGACAGAATAAATTATTTTTGTTATATCCTTTTGTACTGTTTGTCTTACTCTAACATATCAAATGCTAGTCCTATGTTAATTGTTAGGCCTATAACTACCGTTCACGCCAAACTTTTCCTTGCCCATAATTTTACTCTTTTTTGCTATTGTCTGTCTGTCTGCTGTTTCCACTCATCTCACACTATTTATATTTTTATCACATAATCGTCCATCCGCCTTCTAGAAATCTCTATATTCTCAACGTCATTGTATTGCCCACGATGTTCGATAGTCTCAACATCAATGACTTATAAACACAACTTCCTACAGTCATCTGCTTTTAACTCTTATTTTAACAAACTAAGCAATAATACAATATTCCCTCAATAATATCTAAACTAAACAGTCTTTTATATCATGACAGAGATAATGATCAAATGTGGAAAATTTTTCAAATAAGTTCTTAAATATTCGACATAAGCATGTTCTTATAGACAAAAAAGGGTGGTTGCAAGTAAAAAACCAGGTTGGCTCACAAAGGGTGGGTGGGTATAAAGATGAGATTAATGAAAAGCTTTATAAATATAAGAAGTTTAAATTGACTACAATGATGGTAGATTTGGAAGATTATAGAAGATCAAGAGTTTGCCAAATAGGAAATTAAGAAACAAAAAAGTGTGAGAAAAAAGGTTGGTTGAAAATGTAAAAATAAAAAATTACAAATACATTAAGAGTAAGCAAAGTGTTAGGATGGTAGTAAAATCTTTGATGGATAATACAGGGTGGCTAATACCTGATGATTATGGGATAGCTGGGTTATTAAATTTTTCTTTTTCTTCAGTTTTTATAAACAAAGATTTAAGCAATATTCCTCATCCTGAAAAGTTGCCAGATGGAAACAAGGTTGAATGAGATGATCACATTAATTCTAAGCTTGTTAAAAAAACATTGGGAAGTTTAAAGAATGATAATTAAGACTCCTGGGGCTGATAATATTTACCCAAGCATTTTAAAAGAGGTTCAGTATTAGATACATGATCCAATTCTACAATTTTTTCTAAGGCCTTCAAGAGAGGTGATAAAAATTGTCCCAGTAATTATAGGCTTATTAGTCTTACATCAGTGGTGGGAAAAGGTTTTGAAAGCCTGATAAAAGATGGATTGCAAAGTCATTTAACAAAGTTTACAATTTTTGTTGGGCAGTCAGCATGGTTTCACTAGGGAAAAATCTTACCTTACTAAACTTTTGACTTTCTTTGAAGAGGTCACTGCTTATGTAGATGAGGGTACAGGTAGATTTTCAGAACACATTTGACAAGGTGCCGCATAAAAAGCTTGTTCAAAAGGTTCCATCTGTAGGTGGTGCATGGGTATGTTGGCTAATTGGATAGAAAACTGGCTATATGAAAAAAAGAAGATGGCTATTGTAAATGGGGTTCAATCAAACTGGTATCTGAGGGCCTAGTGTATATCCATACTTATAGTATTAGTGTTTAATATATATGAAAATAAGTTTTCATCCAGATATCCCTAAACATAGGAAATGGGGTGTGCATGAGATTGGAGACTAAAAATCCATCACTGATTATATTTTCCAGCATTTTGATGGGACAAGTGCAGTAGCATAATGGGTTAATGTTTAGAGACTAGGCTAGACTAGAAAAAAAGTCACCCCTTAAGACTCTTTTTGTTATACATATTGAAATGATCAGCTAGAAAGTTGTAAATAAATATGTTTTCTCACTATATGTTTTATAGTATTTTTAGGACTTTCATATTGGTATTGCAGATTTTATAAATATTTCAACTTACCTTAGTAGAACCCTACTGATTTTGAAAGAAGATACCAGTATTATTTTAACTGAACACCATGTGTTTGATCATTTATTGTATACATATATGTATTTAAATGTGTATGGTTCTACTTTTTCAGTATTTTGAGTAATGTTTTAGTGTATTGTA